TCCTGTGCGCCTCCACGTACCTCCTGCTTCTTCACCCCAGCCGTTGCTCCTCATCCGTTTCCTCTGGGCTGTTCCTTCCAAGTTCTCGCGATCGAAACACCGGGGGATGTATCGGCGCGCTCGGCAGGCACCTCGATAAGCCGACAGTTTCGCGAAAGATGTCTCGGCTATGCGACGTCGGCTTCGAATTCGAATGAGCCAGCCAGGGAGAGGATCGAACAGCGCGTAAACTTCGATCTCGGCGAGACTCGCGAACGCGAGCCCGAAATTCCATAAAGCGCTTTATTTCCCCGGGGCGCGCGAAAGCGCGCGCGCGCGCACGCGCGGAAAATCAATCGGTCGGCACGGTCGCGCTCGTCGTCGAATCGTTTGAATAAAAACGCGGTTTCTTCCTTTTTTCCTTTTTCCTCGATCGGGATAAAACAGAGAGTGCTTTATGTCGGCTGTAATATCATCCCAGGAATGATCATTTCGAGAGAGAGAGAGAGGGGGGGGAGGGGGAGGGTTGTCTGCGCGTGCACGCGACGGTCCCGCGTCCTCCGTTTGTCGTTTCGCTGGACGCGCGACGTGAGACTCGCGAGGACGGATTTTCCGACGGGGGAAATTGCGAGTTAATTTCCCGTGCAATCCAGCGCGAAGCGCGTCGGCTCGTTGTCGTCGTCAATTATTTTTAATTGCACGCCGATCGGAGTCCCAGGCTCTGCGCGCGACGCGACATGCATTAAAATGCGCCTGGGTGTAAAATTGAAACTCGCGAGGCCGCTGCGGCCGCGCGCACATTGTATTTCGCCGATTCGTTAATGTGATTTTCAACAAATAATTTTCGCTTCCCTCTAACTCTTCCCGCACCCTCCCCTCGCGCTACTCATCTCCCCTACCTACCCCTGTTCATCGTTCGTAACCCTCGTCGCAATCGTCCAATTCGTCGTTGCATGATTTTGCACGAGGTCGTCGATGATGGACGAGTTCGTGCTCGAAATCATTGCGATACGAGAGCGAGCAAGCGAGAGAGACAAAGAATGAGAGAGGGAGAGTGCGAGGAGGGGGCAGGGAGGTTGAAGGGGCGCGCAGGGGGACACGCGAGTGATTGGAAAGGGGAGGCGGCCGGCAGGTGCGTGGCTGTTCAATATTCATCGGCGAGAGGCGTCGAAATGATTTTAAGTGCCTGCAGAAATTGCCGCGGCACCGGCGTTTTCTGATAATCTGCATTATTTCGATCGCTTTGATCGCCGCTGCTTTAATAATATGTAGATTTATGTTTTCATCCGAACAGCGCGGCCGCGTCGGCGTCGGCGGCGGCGGCGGCGGCGGCGGCGGCGGCGGAGGCGCGCCGTTTCTCCCTCGCCTCAACGCGGTCTGACGCGACGCCGAAGTTATTGTTGAATTATTTATTGCATTCTAAGTATCAGAGCGCGACGCCCTCCGGTTCGGTAGGATGTTTATGAAAAAGAGAGCACACGCTGTTGAATGTTATCTTAACTTCCTCCCGCGCACGGAGAAAAATATGCCACGTCGGAAACAAGTTGCTCTTCTATGCATCTTTTGTATGTTATTACAAATACGCACAATACGCGGAATGCTCGGAACGACGACGACGACTGTACGTTGTACAGATGACGACGATTGCGAGAACTCGTTTTGCGCATATCGACGAGTCTCTTTCGCTATTTTTCGGGACGTCACGCAAACAAATTGCTCTCCGTTGCGGATACTCGGCTCGCGGGAAACGAAACGCGCTTTCCGCGCCGCGACTCTCGTCGCGCGCTCTCCTTTTTTCCTTCTTTTTTTCATATTTCGGCGCGCGATTCAGGCGCTAAGCATGCAGAGGCCAGAATAGCTCGCTGCACTCGAAAGCATTTTTTTCTGGAGATGGTCTGAAGAGAGAAGCAAGAGCGCAGCGATGCTTCGGCTCGATAAAAGCGCCAACGGAGAGAGAACCTCCGGAGATGCATCGCGAAATGCGTCGTTGGAAATTCCTGCCAAAGGCGCTCGATTACCGATCTGAAAAATCCGCGGCGGAATAGTATTAAAGGCAACGGACCAAAAAATATATGAGTATACATATATATATATATATATATATATATATATATAGTATATGGTCGCGCCGCGAGATTACCTCTCGTTCGATTGTGCGTCGAGCGCGTACGCTAACCGCGTACGTCCTGCCTCCCCTCTCTCCCTTCGTCCCTTTTTAACAAACGATCTCCCTCCCCCCCCCATCTCTCTCTCTCTCTCTCTCTCATTCCGCTCTACTCTGCTCTCTCTTGCTCACGCCGACCTCCGAGATGGGAATCGCGTTGTCATCAAGCTTATCGCGATTATCGCGGCGCGCCGCCGGTGCATCGCGCCGGCACATGCACGCACAACATCGTGTGCAACATCGCGATACGCGGCGGAGGAGGGGGAGGAGGGTAACATTGATGAAAGGAGAATCGTGGATCGCCGATTCTATTCGCGCGACGAGCGCGCACGGATACAAGGTTAGGAGGAGATAGCATCGCCGGATTAATTATGCGTAATACATAGAGAGAACGTGCGCGAGGGCGCGCGCGCGGTTTCGTTGGCCAGAGCTTGCGCTCGTCGTTGCACGGGTTCCCTCTCTTTCACCCCGCTCGCCTAGCTCCCCTTCCCGGGCCGTAGCGGGGGTATGCGGAGAGAGAGGTAGCCGACGCATTCAATTATCGTCGTTACCCTGGCAATTTACAGATGTTTCGACGATAATCGCGTTGCTACGCGACTTTCACGTTGGTTGCGCTAAACACCGAGCATTACCAGAGCCGTGAGTACCGTCGGGCGGCATCGGGAGAGAGAGCAAGAGAGAGAGAGAGAGAGAGAGAGAGAGAGAGAGAGAGAGAGAGAGAGAGAGAAAGAGAGAGAGAGAGACAGAGAGTGGGGGAAGGGCGGAGGGAGTAAGAGAGGAGTAGGTCCGAGCAGGAGTGAGAGGCAGCGTCGTGGCGGGAGGGAGGGGGGGGTCTTAATTAGACTCGTCGGAAAAATTAACGCGGTCCACTCGAAACGAACTGGCAGCGCTCCAGATGCCTCGCGTTGCTGCACTTCCGCGGCCGCGGAAAAGCGCCGCGCCGACCGATGCAATCTGCGGAGTGATCCGCCGTGATGCGCCGGCGGTCGCGGCCCGATGAACTTCCTCTCATTTTCTCTCTCTCTCTCTCTCTCTCTCTCTCTCTCTCTCTCTCTCTCCCTCTCTCTCTTCCTCCCGCAGCCGTGTAATCGAGATGGTTGCTCGTCCTCTCGCGATACGCTCGCATCTCGCTCCGCGAGATTCCGACATTTTCGGCGGGTTTTTTTCAGCGGAAACTGCAGCTCATGTGGAATCAGATATTCAAGATGCGCCGAAGGGTCTTCGCGGAGCTTCCTCTCGCGTCGTACCGCGTTCAGCGATTTACGAAACCTTCATTTTTCGCTCGAAATTTCACCGAGGAACGTCGAATGTTGCCGGAGATCGAGACGAGAGAGTATCGACCGGTTTTCTCATCTTTCGAGAGGCGCTAATTTAACACCGAACACGGTAAATTTGTCGTCGGTGTTATTTCTTCGGAAATGTCCACTCGAATCTGTGAAACATACGGGTTGTGCGCAAACCGATTTGCATCGATTGCGGCTGCGATGTCACGAGGCTATCGACTGACGCTTCAAAGGCTTCAAAGGCTATTCCTCTAAAGTAATTTTATACGCTTGTCGTATCTTTCAAGTAAAGTATTCTCTGCTCCCCCCCTCCCTCGCCCGCCCGTCCGCTCTACTAAAGCGTACCACTCTCATCTTCCCGTAGAACAGCGACGCCCGCCTCCTTCTTGCCTCTGTAAGCGCGGACGCGCTTTACCGAAGATTTAACATCCGCGCGACGCTCGCGAAAGCGCGCAATTTCACGCGTAATCCGCGCCGCTCCCCCCTTCGGCTTCCCTTTCCGTGCCGTTTCTTCGTGCAAATTTCGCGCGTGCTTCTTTGGCTTCTTGTTTCTCTCGTCTCTCTTCTCTTCTCCTTTTTTCCGGCCGACAAGTCGATAGGTCGACGACGCGCGCGCACGCGTCACTCCGCAGGAAAAATCGAGCGAGCATCGTCGGTAAACACTATAAATCAGCTTAATCCGCACGTCGAGCGAAACGAAAGGGGTTTGGCGTGCGCGCGCCCGCGTATGTTCGCGTGAATGTGGGTTAACGAAGGCGAAAAAGGAAAACAATTTTGGCGTCAGCGTTCCGGAATTTGCAGACCGCGCGACACGACATGATGCGATGCCGTCGAATAAAAACAGCGTGCAGCGTTGCAACGAAGCGAAATCGGACGAGTTTCGGGACGGCGCGGCGAGCCGCGGAAAACCACGGAACTCGCGTGCGCGAGTTCTGTTTAGAAAATAATATCGCGCTAAACAGCGTCATTCCCGTGTCGCGGGCAATCTGGAATGTGTGGCTGAAATTCCGGCCTCTCGCTGATATCTCATCTCGCGTTAATGAAGGAAGAAGAAAAAACGAAACAATCAAGACCCAATTATCTTGCTCGACGCGAGCGAAACAACGTGTGGCGCGCCTGTTTCACGTTTCGTGAACGCCGTTCACGCGGCCGGCCGGCGCGGCGTTCCTCTATCCATATTTTAATTCAATCCACGATATACGCGCCGAGCGTATCTCCGCTCGAATCTAGTCTCACCGGTTTCGCGCGGGTATCGCGATTTCCTCGCAAGTCGCGGCCGTAAGTCGGCACGCGTCTGCCCGCGAGAAAGGCGCCGCGCCGCGCCGCGTCGCGTCGCGGCCTACCTGCCCGTCTACCCCGGTAAAGTGTGCGATTTACGTAAATGCAATAATAACGTGCCGCGCGATCTCACGGCGCATACCGAGCGTACGCGTTCTCGGAAATCGCGATGCACCGCGGGACGAGCGCGCGCCGTTGGCGCGAGAAGGAGAGAGGATCGGGAGCGCGGCAGCGCGCCGCGTCGCGCTGCTCTTGTGAGCACGACACGTGATCGTTGCTTCTTTTTTTGCTTTCAGGCGTAGTCGGAGCTCGGAACCTCACGATGGAGTGCCGCAAGGGTCGACGGAAAGGAGCGCCGATCCTCGGCGGGCTGCTGCTTACGTGGCTCTTAACCAACGGCTGCACCGTCGTCGCGCGAAATATGGGTGAGTACGAGAAAGTATTTACGATTCCGGACCGCGGTTCCTTGCCGCGGGTAACCCCCCCCCCTCCACCGAGAGGCTACTCCTCCTCCCGCCAGCCCCTGCGTCCTGTCCTCCGCATCCTTGCGCCAATTAAGGGACCGGCTACAACGCGCGCGCGGATATTTACGCGCGACGCGCACCCCGCTCGGAATCTCTCTCTCTCTCTCTCTCTCTCTCTCTCTCTCTCTCTCTTTCTCCTTCTCTCTTTCTTCTCGCGAGAGAGGCGCGACTCACGCCGCAGGCGGAAGCCAGTTTTGCATCCCGGCGCCTTTCGCGTGCTCTCTTTAACCTCGCGCAGCGGAGAGAGCACGTTTTAAATTTTCACGTCGCAACGACCGAGCGCAACCGTCGCCCCGGCGAGATTGTTCCGGCTGGCTTTGTTTCGGGAAATTAATGGGAGACGGAATTTCTTTAAAAGGGCTCTTTATATTATAAAGTGAAGCGCGTCGGTATTTGTGTAGTGCGCGGGCCAAGTACGGGATGTGTTAATTAAGCAGGCAAGCGGAGGGATTAGCCGCGCGAGCCGGCTGCCGGAAGTTATCTCTCCGCTATCGGGTGTCAAGAGTGTCGAGACGGCGACACGAGTTCGGGGAGCGGGGCGTGAAAGGAAAGGGTGCGCATCGCGTGAGATCGACGCGCGCTGTGAGATTCTTAACGTGCTCCGCGCCGACGATTGATTTTATTACGCGACTTGTCGTCTCCGCGCGGCGCGGCCGGCGGCGGTATGTTGTGTCGCGCACATTATCGTGTTTGCAATTTTTCTTTGTCGAATAACGTACGTATACGTGTATAATAATGAGCATGATCCGAGAGAGTACAAGGGTGTTTCATCGTAAATTCCGCTACAATATTTCCGCTGTATATCGGCTCGAACGGAAAGTCCGCAGCGGAAAGGTCGTTGCACCACGCGACAAGGAACACGCGTTTTAACACGGCGACGCGTATCGACGCGTACCTGCGATTGTTGTTGACAACTCTCGCGTTATATCTGCATTATTTCCGAGCGCAATCGCGCTTCTTCGCCGTCTGGTCGATATCCGCCGCAGTCGCACATGATGCGCATTAGCCACGAGTTCTCATAGAGAAACTAATTATAAAGCGACACTCTACGCGCGCGCATGTCCACTCGTAAATTTGCAGCAGGGGGCAAAAATCGTCTTGAAAGCTTTAATCAAAGGAAGGTGGGAGCGGCCGTGACGTGTACGCGCGAGCGCGAGCTGGGGGCGGTGTGTGGATCGTTGTTGCCGGTAAACCCCGGAAAACCCCGCGAGATGGATGGGAGGTTTCGGCCGGCATGTTAAGTCCGAGAACACACCGTAGCACACGCTCGTAGAATTAAACCGTTCTCGTGCTAATTGATTTAGGAGATCTTCCGTCGCCGTGCGCGCTCGCGTGTTCCGCTGCAACACCCCGCGGTTCCTTCCATCTTTGCTGTAACAAGCTGGGGATTCTATATTTTTTATAAACTTTCAGGGCTGCGCGTCGGAGCGCGGCTGTCTTGAACGTCGCCAGTTATTAGTCTCGCGTACGATATTGCGCTTGTGCCTGTGAACTCAGCACGTCAAACTATAAATATGAAAAAAAACACGTTGTATTTTTATTTTTGATTTTTTGGGTGTAACATTGCAGAAGTATTTTTTTCGTCATCAGGGAACTGTAGAAAAGTGCTACTAGAACTCTACTTGTTTTTTTTTTTTTTTTTTTTTTTTTTTTTTCATATTAATATTAATAGTTTGACGTACTAACTTCACAGACACATTGCGCTTCAGCTGGGCACCCGACCGGCTGTGTATTTTGCTGAACGTGTACAGCAGTGTCGCGAAATGTAATCTTCTCACCCCCGGATGATCGTCGAGCCGTTCCTTCGCAGTCGGTCTGTCGAAATTCAGTTACTCGTGCGACAGGTTGCGCTCGCTTCGACATTTCATCGTCTAACGAATGCGCGATGACGACGCGCCGCTACCAAAATATATTCACACCCGGGAGTAATATGAACGTACGGGAAATAACGGACGTAGACTCGCAACACGGACCGGAGCGCGGCCACAAAGGGTAGATATACAAACCGAAAAGGCGGAAAGAGAAGAGGGGAACGGCGCATCAATAGCGGCGCATCTCTCCCCCGACTTTTTAATCAATATCCTCGGCGCTTCGATCACGTCCGCACTTTTTGTCATTCTCTCGCCGTTCGCGCGCGCGCGCGTGCGAGGGCTGCGCGTATGCAAGCGCGCGGGATGTGAAAGTCGCCGGAATGCGAGTTTCGGGGGGGGGGAGCGCGCGAGGGGGGAGAAGGGCCCGGGCGTTCCGCCGAAAAGAATTCCGCTCAGGCGCCGACGGCGGCGCCTACAAATTTCTCCCGGGACCATTTCCGCGCTCGCATATTAGCCCGGCTGCGCGCACCCAGCTGCAATCTCCGACTACCGTGTAACTGATCGCGGAAGTTGAAGAAAAACCCGCATCGCCAGCCAACCAGCCGGCGCGGCTCGACGCGACGCGACGGTGGACGTTATTTTCTCTTCATAAATCCGCCGCTTTCCGAGGCGGGAACGAGAGCGCGCGCGCGCATTTCGAGCGACCTCGCGATGTCGTTGTCGTCGTTACGGAACGACCGCGCGCGGCCGAACGTTAATCCCGAGGAACACAGCTGAATTTATAGCTTGACGCGCGCAATAGTGTCCGCGTGAGAGAGAAGCAAGAACGGACGCGATCTTTCTTCCAGAGAGCGGGACTTTAATATCTGATAAGTGTAATTATTTTTCGATAATCTTCCGGTAAATATCTTTCAATTATTTCTCAATAAATGCTTTTCGATAATTACGAAAGAGACCGGAAATTGCAATTTAGATGCTCGATAGACGAAATTGGGGCTGATCTCCCTCGCGTGTAGTCGTTTTCGCGAATGTTGACTGGTCGACTAATTGCGATTTATCAGAGAGATTCGCTCGCTGTGGCTTCGCTCGCGAGACGGTTGGGGGGGGGTACTTCTTGACGCAGACTGGAGAGAGGGGTGGGAAGAAGGCCTGAGAGGGTGAAGCGGAGGGGAGGAAGAAGGGAAAGGCTGGCTAACGCCCGATAGGGATAGAATTCAGTAACGCATTGAACACACGCGAGCATTAACGAGCGACCGGCAGTCTCGGGAGAAGCGATTTCAGAACGGCGTGTTCAAGAGGGGTCGAGGATGAGACAGAGCGGTTGGAGGGTGGAGAGACGACGAAGACCCGCGGTGAGTGTTGAAAAGCGAAAGAGAATCACATCCTCTCTCTATCCCTTTACGATTATCATACACCCCGTTGCGTCCAATCCATGCAGCCATCGTCGTACTTGCGTTTCCAGTGTTCTGCCTCCGGTCCCTTCCAGCTACTCCCTTTCCGGCTAGACGTACGTGCACGCACCCACGTATAAATGTGCGTGCGTGTACACATATAAGCGCGCACACACACACACACACATGAGCGGGAAAACCACAGCAACCCAAACGATAGATAAATCAAAATCGCTCGCATTGTGCGCCCGTTGCCGCCGAGGCTCAGACGAGGCTTTGTATGCCATCGAAGGTGGATAGAGATTTAGGACGTCGTGGAATCGATCGACCGCCCCTGCGAAACTGTAGCGTTTTCCGCATGGAGTCGCAGTGTAGTTATTCGCGACGCGACTCGAGATGACGGAGGAGAGCCGAACGGCGCGCTCGTCTCTCCGTTGAGTTAGATCCTCGCATTCGGACGCGCGCAAGAGACACGTGAGGATGAGAAGATTAATTAGTGAAATTAAATACACAGCATGAGATGTCATTGGTGAAATCCTATTAATTTCGCCACGGAAGGATATTACAGCTATGTTCCTTTGACCGTCACCGGGGTCGCTTTAATGTCGAGGGAAATGGAAATCGAGAAGGATAGGGAGAGAGGGAGAGAGGGAGAGAGAGAGAGAGAAAGAGAGAGAGAGAGAGAGAGAGAGAGAGAGAGAGAGAGAGAGAGAGAATTCATTGCTGATTGCAGAAAAATTAATTATTTATTAGGAAAATATTGAGATGCTCTCGTTCATAATTCAGCTCTTATTCTTATGAACAGGAGACAAAAGTACAAGCTAGTCGTCCTCTTTCCTCTTTTTCTCTCGGTAAATCGCCTCGAAGAAAGTACGCTCGATATTTAATCTCTTAAAATTACAAACTTTACTATGGCCGGTGTGTTAAAATTTCCGGTCCGATGCCTTTGCTCCGTCGCTCCTTCCCCCTCACTCCCGTCTCCCCCCTCTCCGTTTCACAAACGAGTATACGCGCATTATTTCAGTTATTCAGCAATTAGTTTTTTAGTGCCGCTCCGCCCGTCATAAAACCGAAAATGATTCCTCTTGGCGAGCGTATAAATATGCCGGCGCTTCGAAAAATTACATAAAATCCCCGATAGCCGCCACTTTGTAATCCACCCTGATGGCCGTCGTAAAACGTTAGTTAACGGCGGCAAGGATGATCTCGATCGGGCTGACCTCGCGAATAACGCGCCGATAAAATTTGCAGCGACGGCGGTGGCGGCCGTGCGAGAGCACGCCGAAAGACGTCGTTCACTCGCGGCCACTCGCATGCAATTACTCGCGCGACTAGCATAGCATTTTTACGGACGGCGGAATTTCCGGCCGCCATCGGCATCGACGACAATAAAGGCGGGAGTGCGATCCCGCTGCTAGTTTACGGCGGAGCCGTTACCAAGCCGTTAGATTTCGATTGGATCATTGGGTGGAATCGTCGATGAAATGTTCATCGCTCACGCCGATATCGTAAGGAATATTTCTGCTATTTATATTTGGGCTGTATATCGAACCGCACGTCGTTCCTCCCCTGTTTCATTTTTCTCTTTTTTCTTTGTTTTCTAATCTTACTGCATTGATTTCGATCGCGCATTAATAAGATCCATCTTGGACTTGGAGAATCTTCAAGTTACACGATGTGTTATTACTTCTCGAAGTCT